ACTGTAACTCTATTATTATGCCTGAATGTGACTTGTGTATTTTTGAAACTTATTGTTAATAGAAAAAAATGTCATATATGGCGAATCATAGAAATATATACTTATTGGATCTAATAGTTAAACCGACAAAGACCAACTAATACCCCTATGTACATGTCGGATCCTTACTATATGATTTGATGATCAAAATTACCTATATAAAATTGTGTATAAATACCTACTTAACATAAAAATTTATTAATATTATTAAAAAATAAATGTAGAAATAGACTTTTAAAAATATATTTATGCATTTTATAAAATTGTACGTATAAAATATATTAACGATATCGAGTTTTAAATGAAGGTATATTAATTTATACGTTTATAATTAACAAAAACATGTCAGATGCTAAAGTGAAACTTACATTCTGCTATGTAATTTCGGGTCCACACAAAGTAATCATGTTTGTGGAGCAGAATAACCTCGGGTGGAGAGTAATGTTTAAACATCGCTGTTAATTTGTTAATTGTTAAACGTAAAGCTACGAAACAATTGTTTGCCTCCCAATGTGTGGGGTGCTAAGAATTTTCTGATAATATCGTAAATAACATATTTAACATAAATAATTGTACATGTTTTTCGTTTTTATGCTGTCATTAGGTTTGTAATAAATGTATATTTAATGAAGATTGTGTTTATAAAATAATTTTCTTAGTATAATCTCTTTTAAAATGTATACTATTTAAAATTAAGCATAAATATTTAAGGTCAAAGGTACCTTAAACATTTATGCTCTTATGATACTGATACTCTTATGAACGTCTGAATTACTAAATATTATTTTGTTTTTGTAAACTCAATGCCATTTGAGGACATAATACATATGTGATTGAAAAATATATTATGTATATAGTGTACTGAAAGAGGAACGATAAATGGCTGATATTAGTATTTGTAAGATTGAATTTGAGAGACTATACGTGACTTAAGTTGGTTTTAAAGTCTCCGTATGAATTGTATGTAGCTTTGTTAAAAAAGGAGCATTTTATGGTTAATTTCGAGACACTGAACTTGACTCGACGTTGAATTTTAGATACTCATACCTTTTGTTTAACCAATTTGTCTATAAACATCCTAACGGTAATCCGTAGAAAATATTTCAATACTTATATTAATGCAAGAAGTATAGTAATAATAGAATATTGTCCGAGGTGAGAAAATTAGACACATGTTCGCAAGCAAGCACGGTTCCTTCATGAATGCATGTCGTATGTCCGATGGATGGAGGCCCCTCGTGGTTGTCGAACACTGAAATCAAATTAGCCGAATCCCTTTGACGAACTTTGAGTTAGTCCAACAACTCTGACCAACTGTGAAATTATTTGCTTGCTAACTACACGATAACAATTTCACATATAAAAGTTACTCATCCGTATGATTGAGGGATAACAAATAGAAGCTCATGTAGAAATAATTAATTAGTCATTGTCGTTTTATTTCACATATAGCCAATATGAACGAAAAAGACATTGTTGGGAATCCCATACTAATTTGCCCTAATACACGCCACACACAGTCCTAAAATCAGTAGTAGTGGCGATGCCCTGAACAGCTTTGTAGATCTATTATGTGTGTAGCGGAATTAGGGCCAATTTCTTATAATGCGCCCCCACGCTGAAGCCACTTTAACCCTATCATCATTGCTGTGATATTGCCCCTGAGTTTAGGGCTATGTGTAGACCATGCAAAACAATACGATTTGTCAGTTGAAAATAAATATAGGTACCCAACGTGGATACAACTCAATAGCTTTTTTTGAGGATATATGACAATACCAATCGTTATAGAACGATGAACTACGAAAGTTCGGTATACAGTTTGGATCGACAGATAGAAGCACGTCTATATAATTTGTCGGTATTGTAGGACCACACACAATATTCAAGTTTTATTTTAATAATATTATAATGTAGTGATAAAAAATGATAGAATCAGTAATGTTTATATTACTATTACTGTCATATTTACTACTTGAATTTAACATATGAATTTGCACTCAATTGTATTATCTCGGGGGCCATCTGTAAATTACGTCATATATTAAGGTGGGACCGACAAAATGTTATAACAAGGGGTTGGGGCGGGTCACAAAGTTCGTATAAAAATTATGAAATCTAGTAGGTGGCTAAGGGGTTTAAAATTTTTTGACAACATATTTCAATCTAATTATATATAACTCAAAGGTGACTGACTGACTGACATAGTGATCTATCAACGCACAGCCCAAACCTCTGGACGGATCGGGCTGAAATTTGGCATGCAGATAGATGTTAATTCGTAGGCATCCGCTAAGAAAGGATTTTGATAAGTTCCACCCCTAAGAGGATAAATTAATGCGAGCGAAGCCGCAGGCAAAAGCTAGTTTTAGTATAAAAATACAGAATAATAACTATAAAAATACGTCATTGTAACTTGTGGATGTCCATTATTTAATAATATTCACTTACTATAAATATTACATAAACAAAAGAAAGTAAAATATATTAATATTGTTGACCATTTTGTTTACAAATTTATAGTAAAATACATTGACTAAAAATCTGTTTTCCAATTAAATGTAGTTAGTAACTTTTAAGCAGTTTGAGGAGTTTTAATAAAGTTTGTTTCATTTTGAAACGGTATTCTGAAAAATTAATTAGTACCACTACGTCACCCAACCAGTACACCAGTAAAGTATTCATTACATAGAACTGTTGCTCTACTAATTAAACTTGTCTAACTTGATTTATTGTTATATACTTTGTAAATATTCTACTTTTTAGCCTGTAGTGTTTAGAGATACGTAGATATTTAGAATTTCTGATTAAAAATTAATTAGTACTCTATATCGCTTAATACGTTGTGAATTTCATTCATTATGCTACCTGTCTATTACGAGATAGGTATAAACTATATGTGGCATACAAGAACTCTCAACAACAAGAATATAAAAATATATAACGTTATTTTTTATCACCTTCATTCTTACTACTATCATATATGTATTTTAGTTTAGTTAGTTACAGTAAAAAACAGTTAATAATATATCGTAGTAATTGAATTTCGTATACATAGAATATGTGCAAGCAATTGGTTGGTATAAATGTAGTTTATATAACTGTTATATCTGATCAAATAGATTCAATTCAAAGCTAATAAGCGAAAATGTATTTAATCAAGACGATGTTCCAGCATTTAACTGCAATTGGAGCGATTCTGTTGCAACTAACTTGCGATTTGTTACCTTACAAACTATTCGAGAACAGTAAATTAAGATTAGAACTAACTGGTCGAGTTGAAACTTACTTGAAAATATTTGTTCTCCAGAGTATAGAGTCACTAGTTTACACATACATATATATTCTAGTGTCATTACTCCTACATACATACGTCTATATTTCATGACATTTACTGAGATAGATTCTGTATATCTGCAACGGGTATCTCTGACTCATATATATTTTTTAACATTTATATTGTACTATTTATACGACCATTACACTAATAAGGTGATCGTATACTACCTATCACTACTAGTACCACTAGTTCAGTCCCGAAACATTGGAAGATTACTTTGGTCCATCCGTCCCTAAGAAAGGAAATCGCTCAGATACAACCAACTATAAGCCCATAGATATCACCTTTTTCTTCTTAAAGTTTATGAAATCGATTGTAATCCGGCAACTGCTACGATACTAAAGAAGGAAGGAGAACTAGTTTATTTCTGATCGATAGTATGACTTTTGCCAAGAACGCTCTGATGGTGATCTTTTAGTGTTTAACATATCCATGGGCAGTAGCTGTTGAGAACAAGACGGTAGCCTAATAAGGCTAATAAGTTAGTCTATATTTCAAAGGCCTTAGGTGAAGTTTGGCCCAAAGCTCTTTCAGTTTTTCAAAACACTCTTTAGGGAAATTATAGAAATGGGTCACCAGCTTTCTAGCAAAATGTACATGCTTAAACCTACACTCAATAAATGCTGGTATCCCATAAGGCTGTGTGCTATTTTCGATATTTTTTAATGTTCTGGTGGCATTCTTTGCTAAAGTACCATCCTGATTATTTGAAATAATGCCGGTTTTCCAACATACGTTTTTCAAGAAACTTTTTGCCACGCACAACGATATTGTGGAATCAACTTCATTATCAAAACGCCGACTACAATATTTATGTCTTCATGCCAGATTCTATGATTAATTCAAAGAGGTAGACAGATCTCTTCTAGTTTAATTTTCCTTTTATTCTTACACTAACCTTTAAATGTTAAAAAAATCAGCTGTAACGGCATTATAAAATTTTACTCAATGAAAGGCAAAGTTGCAGTTTGCATAAATCCATACATATGCATGAAGTAACAGGCATGGATAGCGGCGCGCCTGGTGCATGTAAATTCAATAGAGGAACTGCCTCACAAAAATCACACAGTGAAAAACAAACTGACGACAAATCCGTTTTATATTAAACCATTCAGTTTTTCACAGTAGTGATGGGCAGTTTGAGTAAAACTCAGAATTACTTAGTATAGAATGTAATTGTAACAAAAATATGTTGTAATATAAAAGTACTGAACATTTACGATTTTTTATATTCTTTTATAAATACCTTATTATAAAAATTATACTATTTCTATAATATTTACCTACCTATGACAAGTGTTCACTTTTGCCTAATTATATTTCGTCGCTTCATTCTTCAGATATAATAACTAGGTAGTTTCCTTAACCTACAAGCAACGTGACGCACGGTTTAGAGAAAGTATTTTTTTTTTTTTTTGTCTACCCTACGATACCTTCTTTATTCTCTGTAGCACTAACGTTCTTCATTCCTTTTTCGTGCGCGGCAACGGACGGACGTGTTCTTTTAGCTTAAAATATCATAATAATCATACGTACATTATCATTTTTACTTCGTTTATTGCAATATTTTAGTTAGTAATATTTGTAAATTAATATTATTTTTATTTAAAATATTATAAATATGCCGAAACGATCGGCTGAAGAGAAAATTAATTATTATAGTAAGAAAATACGGAAAATTCAAAAGAAGCAAAAACGTTTAATTGGTGCAAGTAGTTCATCAGAATCTCCTTCAGTACCAGAACAAAGTAAGTACATTATCAATATATAATTTTTACCCACAAAAATTTATAAAAATTAGATAACTGGGAGGTTGCCCGAGATGGTAACACGAAAGTGACTATGTCTAATTTTAATTATAAAAAATACTAGACGATCATTCGTTAATTAAATTAGGTGCCTGGAGGTTGCCCGCGATGGTAACACGAAGGTGATGATGCCTAATTCTAATATTAAAAAGCCTGGAGGTTATCCGCGATGATAACACAACGGCATATATACACTAAAGTACAACAATTTTATTTGTGTACTACACAATATAGAAATTATTCAACCAAGAGGTTGTCCGCGATGACAACACAATGGTTATTTTTCTTAGAAATAAATATTTATTTCTATAATAATACATAATTAATACTTGTCTGGTTTTAATGACAGATCCAGAGGATGAGTCATTCCCGATGGTTGAATCTCCCTGTGAGGAAGAACCAGAGCCAGTGGAAATATTTCCGTTGGTGGTGGAGCCGGATAAAGAATATCCTGCGGATTCGATCGAACCGCAACCATCCACCGTCATATCAACGGAAGCTGAACCGGAGAAATCCTCGGAAGCAATACAAGCCAATTGCTCTATACAAGAGGTTGATCCAGATATTTTAATAGCCTTAGGGGAGATTACTAATGACTCCCCGGATTACGGGGAAAAAATACACGATTGTTTAGCAAAAATTTGGACACCATTATTAAAAAAGGGGTTAAGTAAAGATGTTCGCGAGAAATTAATTAAAGATTACCTTATTCCTGAAAATTGTCCCCTTTTAAAAGCGCCAACATTAAATCCGGAAATTTTAGCCGCTTTACCCGAAACTGGTAGGTTCCGGGATAAGAAAAAGAAGCGGAGGACTACGGCGGACAAGTCAACGGCCACCAGTTCAACCCGGAGGTCCTCAATTGAAACCACTGCCATCCAAGACTCGCGGAGTACCTCGCCGAGTATAAATCAGGTACATGCCGGTAGGCTAAAATTTTATTATAGTCAATGGCGTAAAATAACTTCTAATAGTTTAGTCCTTAAATGGATAAGCGAAGGCATAGATATTCCCTTCGAGAAAACTGTTACTCAATTAAATGCACCCATTTCGTCTTGGCCAGATTCAGAAAAACAAGATATGAAATTAGCTATAGATAATCTCACAAGTTTAGGTGCCGTGTCAATATGTCACTCTTCAGATGACCAATTTTTATCTAAAATATTTTTAGCTCCAAAGCCTAATGGGGGAAAAAGATTTATTTTAAACCTTAAGTCCTTAAACAAATATGTAGTCAAGTCACACTTTAAAATGGAGGACTACAGGACAGCTTCTAAGTTAATATCGAAAGATTGTTATCTAGCGACTATAGATCTTAAGGAAGCGTATTTATTGGTTCCGGTAAATATCCAATTTCGTAAATTTTTACGTTTCCAATTTGAAGGGATTGATTCACAGATAATCACCTATGAATTTAATGCCATGCCATATGGCCTCTCAATAGCACCTAGGATATTTACAAAAATTATGAGGGAGGTAGTTAAATTTTTACGAAACCTCGGTCATCAATCTGTGATATACCTCGATGATTGTCTTTGTATAGGGTCTGACTATGATGAGTGTAAAAATAATGTCAAAAACACACTAGATTTGCTATCTAGCCTTGGTTTCGTTATTAACTTTGAAAAAAGCTCATTAGTACCTAGAAAACAATGCAGATTTTTAGGATTTTTATTTATTTTATTTTATTTATATACTCTTTATTGCACCAGGAAAAATTACATTAATAGAGTAATTAAAATAAAAGGGTACAAAAGGCGGCCTTATCGCTTATGCAATCTCTTCCAGGCAACCTTTGGGTAGAGGAGAAAAAAACAAAAGGTGGGAGGTGGCACTAGAATAGGAGAGAAAAAAAAAACATAATAATAATAATGACAAATGAATAATAATGAATAACATAACATATTACATATATAAACAGTATACACCAATATTAATATTATATATATATATAAATATATATATATATACATACATACATACATACATACATACATAACAACATGCAATAAATAGATACAACACAACACAAAAATAATGCAAGCAGCAAGTAACTGTGATACACGCATAGGAATAATACCTACTAGTAATATAACAATGGTGACGACAGAAAAGAAACATTATAAGGAAAGATAATGTGATTTGACCGAGTTCTTAAAGCTGGGTAGTGATCGTGAGCTACGTATGGAGGAAGGTAATGAGTTCCATAGTCGAACGGCATGTACCGAAAAGGATTTGGTGTAGAATGAGGATGTGTGGGAAGGGATTTTGAGACGGAGGTTTGTCGCACTGCGTAAGCCATGATGTTGTGCCTCACCGAGAAATAAGAATCTATCTTTGAGGTAGTTAGGAGTAGCAGGATTAAAGAGAACGGAGTAAAGAAGGGAAAGAATATGCCAGTCACGGCGAAGGCGTATAGGGAGCCACTTAAGCTGTGCACGATAATGTGAGACATGGTCATATTTGCGAAGTCCAAATATAAACCTGATACAAATATTTTGAAGACGCTCAAGTTTGTTTAATTGGTCTTCGGTGAGGTCTAGGTAGCAGGTGTCGGCGTAATCAAGGATAGGAAGAAGTAGGGTATGTGCAAGCGAAACTTTGGTATCGACTGGCAAGAAATTGCCTAGTCTCCTGAGTGAGCCTGCGGCAGCGAAAATCCTGCGACTCACTTCGGCGATCTGAACTGTCCAAGACAGCGTCCTGTCGAAGTGGATGCCCAGGTTCTTGACGCTATCACTGTACTCAATGAGTACTCCGTCCAACACTATTCGAGGAAGAGTGCTCCAATTGATTTTTGCTATATACCGAGGGCTGCCAATAACGATAGTCTGAGTTTTTGAAGCATTCAATGTTAGTCCAAAGTTTTTACACCAACTAGATATGAGATCTAGATCTGCAGTAATTGTAAGGATGGCAGTGTCAATGTTATGTAATGGGGCTTGCGAATAGATTTGGAGGTCGTCTGCATAAAGGTGGTAGGAGGAATGAAGCTGCATAGTAATAGAATTAATAAAAAGCGCAAAAAGAAGCGGAGATAAGACGCCACCCTGAGGAACGCCGGCAGTAATTTGACACCATGAAGAGAAGCTGTTGTCAACTCGTATACGCTGCCGTCGTCCATACAGGTAACTTTGAAACCAGTCTGTTACCATTGGAGATATGTTAATTGAACGCATACGTGCCAGTAGGATATCGATATCGACGGTGTTAAACGCATTACTGAAATCCAGCAATGTAAGAACAGTCAGTTGCGAATTTTCCATTCCATATCGAATATCATCGGTGATTTTAAGCAGTGCGGTATTCGTACTATGACCAGCTCGGAAGCCAGATTGGAAAGGGTTTAAGAGATGATTTTTGGAAAGGAAGTTGTTCAGTTGGTCATGAACAAGTCGTTCAAGAACTTTGGACAGGAAAGGAAGTATAGAAATAGGACGGTAATCAGAGAACGAGGACGGCTTACATTTTTTGGGAAGGGGAATAATATTGGCATCTTTCCAAATGGAAGGGAAAACACTTGAGGATAACGAGTTGTTAAAAATTAAGGTAATTACTGGAAGGATAATGTCAAGGATGAGATGGATCATAGTACGACCAATGCCATCAGTTCCCATAGCGTCGGAACCTATTGATAGCAAGCTCTTCTCAACATCACAAGTAGTAACCAGACGAAAATTAAAGGATGGAAAACTAGGGGTTAGTGCGGTAGAAAGAAGATTTAGTGTATTTCTTTTAATGTTGTTATCAAAAACAGTAGAAGTACAGAAGTGCCTATTAAGGCTGTCTATATCGACATTGAAAAATTTAGAATTAGAATCGTGATTTTTACCGACCCCAAGAGTTTTAAGAAATTTCCAGACCTTAGCCGGATCACTATTTTCTACAGATGAATGAATGTGGCGACGTTGTGCCTCTCTACACACCTTATTGCAGTAATTTCTAGCTTTTATGTACTGCTCTCGGTATTTGTCTGGATTGGATTTAAATTTTGCTTTAGCTTTGTTTTTCCTGCTCTGAGTATCTTTTATTTCCTTAGTCAACCACGGTGCAGGTAGATGTTTCACTCGAACAGGTCGAACAGGAGCATGACGGTCGTATAGCTCAGTGACAATGTTATTAAATAGGTCTACCTGGTCATCCACAGAAGTAGCATTTCGAACCGAGTCCCAATCAGAGTCCAGGGCATCCCTGCGCAAGCAATCCAGGTCGATGGTACCAAAATTACGCTGCATGATGATTTTACGTCTAAATTTAGGAGTTCGGATTTGGAATGAAAGGAAAATAAGATCGTGAAATGAAAAAGCATCCGCAGTGTGTTGACCATGGCTTGCAACAAGACTAGGAGATGAGACAAGGATGAGATCCAACAGTGACGGTCTGCAACTAGGGAAGTAATGTGTAGCACGAAGCGGTAGGATAGTAAGATTACAAGCCTTAGCCACAGACCGTAGACAATCGGATCGATAGTCATTTTTGAGTAGGCAGGTGTTGAAGTCACCCATGACTATAGTATGCTCATAGGATGGTATCATCTTTTCCAAAAGGTTTTCTAATGGAGCGAAGTAATCTATTGAAGGAGAAGGGCTATAGAAAACACCTAAAAGAATTTTGGAATGGGAAAGGTTTACTTCAGTAAAGAGATATTCAGCTTCATTAGAGGGATTGGTAGTATTGGAATAGCAAATTATTTTGTAGGGAATGTGTGAACGGAGATACATAGCCACACCACCACCACCCTTGCCAACGCGGTCATTGCGAATGAGATTAAAGCCAGGCAGCGAGTAACAGGAAGAAGGAAGACAGGGTTTCAACCAAGATTCAGAGACGAGTATAGCTTGGATATTGGCAACATCGAACGACGCTAGCATGTCTGGGAAGTGAGCTGGAATGCTCTGTGCATTGATGTGCACAACATTAAAATTTTTGGGTACGTTATCGAAGTCGGTATGTAAAATTTCGTCTAAGGGTGTGGGTATACTATAAAAACTAGTGTCTGTAGAAGAGGATGAGGAGACAGAGTGAAAGCTTACATTATGCATGTCGTACATTATTGTATACAGCTATATCTAAATATACAATAATAATAATAATAATAAATACTATATACTAAACTAAAATAATAAATATAACTAGAATTAAACAAGACATTGTCTCTACCCGCCAGTGGAATGGAAGACATGAATGCATTTTTTCGTTTAAGACATTCATAACTGAAAACAATAAAACTAAATTTTCAACATAAATCGGAAATCAAATGATATCACAAAAAAAAAAAAAGTAATGGTAATAACACATACAAGTATCCATGACAAGTAATAAACGAAAAGAGAAAAAAATATACATATATACATAGTGGAATAATCATGTGTAACAACCTATATTTAACCTTTAAATAATTACAATTCGGATATTCAAATATTTAACAAAAAAAAAAAAAAAAGTTAAAGAAGCTATCAAAGACAATTATAATATAAAAAAAAAAAGATATTAATATATAACATTCTCCATCTACGTTTTCAATGATCAAATATGACATCTGTCACTTGTCACTTTACAAAGTCAATTTGTCATGTGTCAACACGACAACCACAAAATCAATACGAACTATTATAATATATTATACTGATAACGAGAGACAAAATAATAATGAAAATAAAAAAAAAAACAAAACTGGATTGTGATTGTGAGGTTGGTTCCATGTAAACAGTAAATATTAATATATCATTGGCTTTGTAACTACGAAAACTACCTACATTTTCAATATTAGAGTAATGACCTGGATAAAGTTGTGACAACAAGCAGCGTCCCAGATAGACTATAATTATGATTACACACTTGTAAGGTGTAAATACAATTGGGTGACGTATTTTAGTGGAAGAAATGTATTAATTATATGTTGAGTACAATATACAAAAATCATTAGAGGAATAACACATTCTCACTTTCTGACGAAACGTTTGGCGCGAGCCGCTACCCCAGCGGGAACCTTCGGTGCTGCAGTGCTCCCAGCTTCCTGCGCAACCGAAACTGCAGGCTGCGATACAGCCGAAACATTGTCGGATTGAGAGTTTATAATATTGT